CTTTTAGAATTGGGCCATTGACCAATGGTAGGCACATACCTTGCAAATGGCATGTCCCATGTTCAGCCTTCGGCATCTCTTGTTAAAAGGGCCACATAGCAGTCCTGGGCCTTGGCTCACAGAGCAGAGGTGTGGACCCTCAGGCCCAGGGAACAAATATGGCCTTCCATATTTCTCTGTCTGGCTCTCACGCCTCTCCCTGAGCCATCGCCCCTTCAGTCCTCTGCCCACTCATTATGGTGGTCCATAAGATGTCTGCCTAAATATTCATATTGATTCTTAATTGCTTCTTTTATTTCTCACGTTGTATTTTATTGTATTGCAAATGACTGTGGTATGAATAAGAAGGAGAGTCTTTCTGCATTCAGAAGAACGGGAGGGTTACATACCATAGGGACAGAATCCTATATAATGGGGAAATTGGATGGGGAGGGTGAAAGCGGAACCACAAGATTTCTCTCTGGGTGCAATAAATTGTTCACCAGCTTTATTTGCCGCTCCCTCACTCTGCTCAAATACATTGGGAGAGCAAGCTTTGTTCCACATAGCAGAGAGGGCATGCCACAATCAATTTGAGGCACTGTTTTTCTCTTTGTGCAATGTTAAATATTCTTTACCTTTAAAAAGACCCCTGTCAGCACCACCTGGCACTAAGTCATCCAACCGAGAGAACGTGTGTGTGCTCACTTGGTCCTCAGGGGTCTCTTTGGCTGCAAAAAGCTTGCGCAACATCAGCGTCTGTGATTGGCTGGCAATACTAAATATCCCCATAGACCATGACCAACTGGAGGGAGCTTTGTTGGACAGGGAAGAGGGTAAACTAGTCCAACTCCCTGGAATGCAGGAATCTCAGCAGCACCCATGGCAGATAGCCATCCAACCTCTGCTTAAAAACCTCCAATGAAGGAGAATCCACAACCTCCCGAGGGAGGCCGTTCCACAGTCAAACAGCTCTTACTTTCAGAAAGTTCTCCATTCTTGTAACTTGAATCCATTGGTTTGGGCCTACCCTCCGGAGCAGGAGAAAACAAGTTTCCTCCATCTTCCATGTGACAGCTCTTTAGATACTCAAAGATGGCTATCATATCTCTTCTCAGTCTCCTCTTTGTCAGGCTAAACATACCCAATCCCTCAACTGTTCCTCATAAGACTTGGCTTCCAGACCCTTGCTCATCTTGGTCACCATCCTCTACACACCTTCCAACTTGTCAATATCCTTCTTAAACTGTAGTGCCCAGAATTGGACACAGGACTCCAGGTGTGGTCATTTGTTGTTGTTGTTTAGTCGTGTACGACTCTTTGTGACCCCATGGACCACAGCACGCCAGGCACTCCTGTCTTCCACTGCCTCCCACAGTTTGGTCAAACTCATGCTGGTAGCTTCGAGAACACTGTCCAAACATCTCGTCCTCTTTCGTCCCCTTCTCCTTGTGCCCTCAATCTTTCCCAACATCAGGGTTTTTTTCTAGGGAGTCTTCTCTTCTCATGAGGTGGCCAAAGTATTGGAGCCTCAGCTTCACGATCTGTAGAGTAGTATTATTACTTCCCTTGATCCAGATAATATACAGTGGTACCTCGGGTTACATACGCTTCAGGTTACATACGCTTCGGGTTACAATCTCCGCTAACCCAGAAATAGTACCTCGGGTTAAGGACTTTGCTTCAGGATGAGAACAGAAATTGTGCTCTGGCGCCACAGTGGCAGTGGGAGGTCCCATTAGCTAAAGTGGAGCTTCAGGTTAAGAACAGTTTCAGGTTAAGAACGGACCTCCGGAACGATTTAAATACTTAACCCGAGGTACCATTGTATTTCTGTTGATCCTTAACCTCCTAGGAGGAAAGACTAGATTTACATATAACAATAAATACCTCTGACCAAAAGCGGCTTCTACCAGCTCCCTAGTCGATCGGAAGGTTGGTGGTTCAAATCCCTGTGACGGGGTGAGCTCCCGTTGCTCTGTCCCAGCTTCTGCCAACCTAGCAGTTTGAAAACACACCAGTGCGAGCAGATAAATAGGCACTGCTGTGGCGGGAAGGTAAATAGCGTTTCCATGCACTCTGACTTCCATCATGGTGTTCAGTTGCACCAGAAGCGGTTTAGTCATGCTGGCCACATGACCCAGAAAGCTGTCTGCGGACAAATGACAGCTCCCTCAGCCTGAAAAGCAAGATGAGCGCTGCAACACCATAGACGCCTTTGACTGGACTTAACCGTCCAGGGGTCCTTTACCTTTTTTTTATCAGTTTTCCAGTGATGGCTGCGCTGTGGGCTATGGTGATCAGGCATCTGCACTCAAACTTTGAGTGGAGAATTTTCTTCCATAGGTGCACTGTTGATTTTTGTGAGTGCTTTTCTCTTTGGGGCACATAAAATTTGTGCAGATGATTTTATCCTCCTAATCCTGGTGGGAGATATTGTTTCCGAAAAGAAAATGTTCAGTCTTCCTCAATTCTCCTCCTCGGATTTCCCTTTTTAATTTTAAAAATTTAAATTTAAATTTAAAAATCCACTGTTGAGGTGCAGATGATATACACACTGAGGTTGGCCCATTGTCTGGTTAACACAGCCATGCATGTGGTGTCCTGCTGTCCTGGCCATACCTCCATGCACCACCTTTTAAGGCAGCAAGGATTATAAAGGTGTTGTTCTTGGTCAAAGAGGGATGCCATAATAGGAAAAACAAGAAACCATCTTTTTTCCTGCACCCCTCTGTCGTCAGACACCTCTCACCTCACCACCACTGCCACCAATCTGCCTTCTTTCTTTTCTAATTGCTGCACATGGTTATTGAAATGGGAGGGGACAACAGGGATGAGCAAGATGGTGGAGGGAGGGAAATTCTGCGGCAATTTGCATTTAAACCTGGCGTTCAGCATTATATCTCCCTGTTCACCCATTGTCTATAAGCATTTTAGCTCTTCCTTCTGCTTCATCAGAATGAATTAAACATTTTCACTCCACCTCCAGCCTAATTAGAGTCATTTGCTATGTTGACACAAAGGTGGTTATATCTGAGAAGATCTCAGATTTCCAAATACACAATGGCAATGCTGGAAACCTCTGGTGAAAATGGTAAAGGATGGTTGGTTGAGGGAGTTGACAGTGATATTTTCCTAAGATATCCGTGAGAACTAAGGCAAATTCATAGAGGGTTATGTAATCTGGGGAACCGGGTTCACGTCCCCGCTCCTCCACATGCAGCTGCTGGGTGACCTTGGGCTAGTCACACTTCTCTGAAGTCTCTCAGCCCCACTCACCTCACAGAATGTTTGTTGTGGGGGAGGAAGGGAAAGGAGAATGTTAGCCGCTTTGAGACTCCTTAAAGGGAGTGAAAGGTGGGATATCAAATCCAAACTCTTCTTCTTCTTCTCTTCTTATAAAGGATTACTAGCCATGATGGTTGTCCCCTCTCCACGGTCTGAAGCATATAGAATTGTAGAATTGCATAGTTGGAAGGGATCCCAAGGAATCACAGCTAAAGAATTCCTGATAGATGGCCATCCAACCTCTGCTTAAAAACCTTCAAGGAAGGAGAGTCCACCACCTTCTGAAGGAATCCGTCCCACGGTTAAACAGCTCTTGCCACCAGAAAATTCTTACTAATGTTTAGTTGGAATCTCCTTCCTTGTAATTTGAATCCATTGGTTCATGTCCTACCCTCTGGAGCAGAAGAAAACAAGCTTGCTCCATCTTCCACGTGGTAGCCCTTTAGATATTTGAAGATGGCTATCATGTCACCTCTCCATCTCCTCTTCTCCAGGCTAAACATATGCAACTCCCTCAACTGTTCCTTGGTTTCCAGCCCCTTAATCATCTTTGTCGTTCTTCCTCTGCACACATTCTAGATTCAGAATTACCTGATAAGGTAGGGGATAGAAATATCTCTCTTTTTGCCTAGTGAAGTGGTTTGCAAAAAGAAGAAAACTAGAACTGCAAGGAGAGAGAGAGAGAGAGAGAGAGAGAGATATTACATTTGGCCATCAAAACCTGCTCAAAGCTTTTAAAAAGTGTTTGCAATGGAATCCTGCACTTTTTACCCTTCAAATGGTAGGGTTTTAAAAAAAAACATATTATTTGTTGTCTGGAATAGGGGGGATGTATGAAAGAATACAATAAACTGATCTAGCAATGGTATTCCTTTTTGTGTTATGTCTTATCTATTTGTAATCAATACAGCAAAGTACACATTATGTTAGATACATAGTTTGGTGGTACCTGCTTTTTTATTTTAAGAAAACCTCTTCTTACTGGGTTTTAAAAACTAAAATTGGTTCGTTTGTAGTTTGTATAGCTTGTAGAAGAGTTTAAAGCTTGGAAGCTGGATCTATCAAGTTCTTCTACTACTTCCCATTCTGTCTCATTCACACATTACTAGCATGGCTTAAAAAGAGTAAACGAAGTACACAGGTGCCCCATTGCTATTGAGGGAAAAAAACTGTTTCTCCATATTTGTAAGGCTCGTGGCTTTGGATTCTAAGCCTACATGGTTTCTCTGTAACTAGGCCTTTGCCTGTTTAAGCTATCTTCAGTTTCTCCCCCCCCCTTTTTTAAAGAATATATCTTTATTGATTTAAAATACTATCCTACAAATACATTACAAATAGTTACAAGAGAATTTCACACGAAAATGAAAAAGGAATAACAAGAATAAAAATAAAAAACAAAGAAGAATTAACATTAAAATAAAAGAATATCGGTTGTATTATCATATCTTGATCAATAAAGTCTTCTAGAGCAAAAACTTCCAATTATTCTCGTTGCACTTTTTCTAATATCTTGATTTTATCGCACAGTTTATTTTATAGCTTTTTCTGCATATTTTTCTAAGGTATTTTTCCAATTATTTATTATACACAAGTAGCATTCAATTCTGCCAGGAAAGTTTCATTTTTACAGTGTGATCTTATATACTCCTTTGGATTCTAAGCCTACATGGTTTCTCTGTAACCAGGCCTTTGGCTGTTTAAACTATCTACGGTTTCAATCTCCTCTTTCCCAGGCTAAGCATACATGCCCAGCTCTCTCACATGGAAGATGGAGCAAGCTTGTTCTCTCCTACTCCAGATGCTAGGACCCGAACCGATGAATTTAAGTTACAAGAAATGAGATTCCAACTCAACATAAGGAAGAGCTTTCTGAAGGTAAGAGTGGTTTGACGGTGGAACAGACTCCAACGAGAGGTGGTGGACTCTTCTTCCTTGAAGGTTTCTAAGTAGAGGTTGGATGGCCATCTGTCGTGGATGATCTAGTTGAGATTTCTGCATTGCAGAAGTTGGACTAGATGACTGTCCACAAAAGATTTGAAGGATAAAAGGATTTGAGATTCCTGCATTGCAGTGGGTTGGGGTATCATCACCAACATCATCATTTTACTTGTATGCCGCCTTTCCTTTTTTTTTTTAAATTATTTTTATTACATTTTTTCCAGATAAAGATATACAGTACAAGAAAAACAAAGAAAAAAAGAGAAGAGAAGAAAAAAAAGAAAAACAAATTATTTCAAAAGCTTGTTTCAATCTTCCATCGAACTTCCCCACATCTCCCGCACAGTGCAATCTTGATAATAAATTTGTCAGCAAATTGTAACCTTGTTTCATGTGTTTCTTTTGTACTTTCAATTGCATTTTAAGTTTAAATCACTTATTATCCATTTACTCTATAAGCAAACATATTATCATTTTTAAACATTTAAACATTGATTCTTTCATTAATATTGTCTAATTTCATATATATTCCACTCTCATTGCTGGAGCTAACGTTCCAAATCATGCGAAATCTTATATTTCATATAACTTATAAAATTTTTGCAAATAGTCCTTAAATTTTTTCCAGTCCTCCTCCATTGCTTCTTCTCCCAAATCTCGGATCCTGGCAGTCATCTCGGCCAACTCCATGTAGTCCATCAATTGCGTTTGCCACTCTTCCAGTGTGGGCAAATCTTGAGTCTTCCAATATTTGGCGATAAGAATTCTTGCTGCTGTAGTTGCATATATGAAAAACGTTCTATCCTTCTTTAACCCCTTTTGGCCGACAATGCCCAGGAGGAAGGCCTCCGGTTTCTTAGGAAAGGTGTACTTAAACACCTTTTTTAACTCGTTGTATATCATCTCCCAGAAGGCCCTCACTTTTGGACAAGTCCACCAGAGGTGAAAGAATGTCCCTTCAGCCTCCTTACACTTCCAACATTTGTTATCAGACAAATGGTATATCTTAGCAAGCTTGACTGGGGTCATGTACCACCTGTATATCATTTTCATAATGTTTTCTTTCAGGGCATTGCATGCCGTAAATTTCATACCGGTGGTCCATAACCTTTCCCAGTCTTCAAACATAATGTTGTACCCAATGTCTTGAGCCCACTTTATCATGGCTGATTTAACTGTCTCATCCTGAGTATTCCATTTAAGCAGCAAGTTATACATTCTCGAAAGTACCTTGGTTTTTGGTTCAAGTAGTTCCGTCTCTAGTTTCGATTTTTCCACCTGGAACCCTACTTTTTTATCCAATTTAAAAACCTCTTGAATTTGAGCATAATGTAACCAATCTCGCACCTTGTTCTTTAATTTCTCCAAGCTCTTCAACCTCCAACTGTCTCCAATTTTTTCTATTATTTCCCAATATTTCGGCCAGCTGGCCTCCATATTGGGTCTTTTTCTAGCCTTGGCCTCCATTGGTGATAGCCACCTCGGGGTCTTGCCTTCTAGTAAGTCTTTGTATTTTGTCCAGACTATAAATATTGATCTTCTGACAATATGGTTTTTGAAAAGCTTGTGAGTTTTTACCTTGTCGTACCACAAATATGCATGCCAACCAAAAGCATTGTCAAAACCTTCCAGATCTAGGACATCAGTGTTCTCAAGAAGTAACCAATCTTTCATCCAGCAGAAAGCTGCAGCTTCATAATACAACCTTAAATCTGGCAGGGCAAACCCCCCTCTTTTTTTGAATCAGTTAGTATTTTAAACTTTATTCGGGGCTTTTTGCCCTGCCAAACAAACTTAGAGATATCCTTCTGCCACTTTCCAAAACATTCCACTCTGTCCACAATCTGTAGGGTTTGAAACAGAAATAACATTTTCGGCAATACATTCATTTTTATAGCTGCAATTCAACCCAACAAGGAAAGTTTCAGTCTTCACCAAATTTCCAAATCTTTTTTGATTTCTGTCCAACATTTTTCATAATTGTCTTTAAATAAATTCAAATTTTTAGCAGACAAATAAACCCCTAGGTATTTCACTTTTTTGACCACACTTAATTCTGTCTCTTTCTGAAACCCATCTGTTTCTGATGATGTCAGATTTTTTGCCAAAACCTTGGTTTTTTGTTTATTCAACTTAAATCCCGCCACCCGACCAAATTCTTGAATCAGTTCTAAAACTCTTTTGGTACTAGATTCTGGCTCCTGTAATGTTAAAACCAAGTCATCTGCAAATGCTTTCAGTTTATATTGTTTCGCTCCGACCCGTATTCCTTGTACCTGCCGGTCCTTCCTAATCATGTTCAACAGCACCTCCAGGACTGAAATAAATAATAGGGGGGATAGGGGGCACCCCTGTCGTGTTCCTTTTTCAATATGGAACTCTTCTGTCACCACATTGTTCACTATCAACTTAGCTTTTTGTTCTGAATAAATTGCTTCTATGCCATTTTCAAACCCCCGTCCCACTCCCATCCCTTCCAAGTTTTTCTTCATAAACTTCCAAGAAATGTTATCAAAGGCCTTCTCTGCATCAATAAAGATTAACACTGCTTTAGTGTTAATATTTGTTTGCAAAAGTTCCAGAATATCAATAATATTCCTAGTGTTATCAAACAAATGCCTGCCTGGGAGAAAGCCTGCTTGGTCCTTGTGAATTACTTCATTTAGTACCTTTTTAAGTCTACTTGCCAAAATGTCTGCAAATATTTTGTAATCCACATTTAGGAGTGAGATGGGACGGTAGTTCTTAAGTTGAGTCTTTTCAGTTTCCACTTTAGGTATCAGTGTGATGAAAGCTTCTTTCCACGTTTCCGGTGCCCTTCCTCCCCCCATAATCTGGTTGCAAACCTCCATTAGTGGTTGTATCAAATAGTCTTTTAACGTCCTATAATACTTGGAGGTAAGTCCATCTGGGCCTGGGGACTTGCCCAGCTGCATATTCTGAATGGCATCCTCAATTTCCTGTTGTGTTATTTTGTAGTTCAAGATTGATCTCTTCTCCTGAGATAATTCTGGTAGACCGTTAACTTTCAAAAACTGATCCATCTCAGACACCTCCTCGGGCCCTTGCGTATACAGCTTTTTAAAATATTTCTGGAAGCACTTTCTAATTTCGCCTGGTTTCTGAATATTTTTCCCTTCCACCTCTAGATTGGTAACATAGTTTAATTTTTGTCTTTTTTTCAACTGCCATGCCAGCAGTTTCCCACATTTGTTCGCTAATTCAAAGGATCTTTGTTTCATTTGTTTGATTTTCCATTCCACTTCTTGGTTTATCAATTTCATATATTGTGACTGGTGGAATTTGATTTCTCTTAAGATCTCTTTTGACTTTGGTTTAGATCTCAATCTTTTCTCTCCATCTCTTATCTTCTCCAATATTTTATCCTTTTTTCCATTCCAGAGTTTTTTCTTGATCGTATTCTGTTGTATCAGAAACCCTCTCATTACAGCTTTACTTGCGTCCCAGATTGTTCTTTTTTCCACCGAAGTGTTCAAGTTAATTTCAAAATAGTCCTTTAAAGCTTTTTGGGCCTTCTTTACAATCTCTTGATCTCTTAACAGGTTGTCATTCATTTTCCATCTGAAGGAGCCGGCTGGGGTAAATCTCACTTCCATTTTCAAGGCGTTGTGGTCGGAGCAGGTCTTTGGGCAGATTTCCACTCTTATAGTCTTAGGTGCCAGACCTCTAGTTGTCCAAATTTGGTCGATTCTTGTCCATGACAGGTGGGCCTCAGAGAAGAAAGTTCCTTCTTTACCTAGAGGGTTCCTTGTCCGCCAAATATCAATCAAGTCCATGTTGTCTATCAGTTCAAAAAAAGTTTTAGGTAGTCTGCCATCCTTGGTTAAATTTTGATTTTGTGACTTATCCATAAAAGTAGAGACCACCCCATTCATGTCTCCCATCATAATGATGTTAGAATAGTCCAGATAGTCCAGCAGTGTCTCATGCAGCTTCTTATAAAATTCCGATTTCCCCTCATTTGGTGCATAAATTCCTACTATCAGATCTTTTTCTCCTTGTGTTTGTATTTCAATCGCCAGGGTTCTTCCTTGTTCATCTTTAAACAAAAGTTTCGGTGACAAGTTCTCCTTTGCATAAATCACCACTCCTCTCTTCTTAACTCTATCTGATGAAATAAATTCTTGGCCTAATCTTTTATTGATTAACACTTTCCTGTGGAGTCTGGTCACATGTGTTTCCTGCAGGCAATTTATATCCAAATGTTCTTTTTTCAAGATGTGAAAGATCTTTTTCCTTTTTTCCGGGGAATTTGCTCCATTAATGTTCCAACTATAAAGTTGCAGAGACATCCTGAATCAATCTGTTGTTACTCTTTATGGGGTGTCCTCTTTTTTGTCCGGATCCGAGGGGGAGGGTGTTGGTTCTATTCCAGGCTGTGGCTGAGGCCAAGGAACTGCTGTTCCCTTCTGCAAATCCTCTCCGTGATCGTGCAGGAACTTCTGCTTGTCCTCTTTTGTTTTAATTCTAACCTTCTTTCCTTTATAGTTAAAAGATAAACCTTGAGGAAACTCCCACCTGTATGCCGCCTTTCCATAGTTGAAATGATGCTTAAGGTGGCTTACAACAAGACAAGATTTACATAATTACAAACAAAACAGAAGTCATAAACAATGAATAAAACACATCAAAAAGTATGCAACCAAATGTAAACAATTTCCACGTAAATCATAAGATCTAAAACTAAAGATACAACAATAATATCAATAACAGCAAGAAGCTCGCTCAAACCCCCCATGAACAATACTCCAGGCCCAAGAATTTGTTCAACAGCCTCAGCTTTTGTAGCTGGAGTCAGTCCGCACTCCACTCTCCCAGGCCAGATGGGAAAAGGCTAGCAAGGCAGGGTGCAGGTCTTACAGGGCTCACAGGCAAGATGGTCTCATTAGAAACAACATAGATGGAAATTAAAAACAATTTAAAAGAGGAGCCCTCTCTGCTGAGCAGCAGCCGCAGTCCTCGTGAAGCCTGTCAGGCCCCGTCCTAGGCCAGGTGGAAAGAGGCAAGGGCTGGGCCCTTCAGGCCCTCAGCAGGACTAGATGACCCCTGGGTCCCTTCCAACTCTAGTAAAGGTAAAGGGACCCCTGACCATTGGGTCCAGTAGTGAGCGACTCTGGGGTTGCAGCGCTCATCTCGCTTTATTGGCCGAGGGAGCCGGCATACAGCTTCTAGGTCATGTGGCCAGCATGACTAAGCCACTTCTGGCGAACCAGAGCAGCGCACAGAAATGTTGTTTACCTTCCTGCCAGAGCGGTACGTATTTATCTACTTGCACTTTGACATGCTTTCGAACTGCAGGATCAGGGACTGAGCAACGGGAGCTCACCCCGTCACGGGGATTTGAACTGCCGACCTTCTGATCAGCAAATCCTAGGCTCTGTGGTTTAACCCACTGCGCCATTCTACCATTCTATAAAAGGGGAATCTCATATTCCTAAAGGACTGAAACAGAGGATTGCCCACAGTAAAGGAAGACAGATGGTCACCCTATAACATGTGTACTCCCCTCCCCCACAAATCATGTGTATTAATCGTTGTGCTAGAAGAAGGAACATCAGATTCAGCCTTGAACAGCTGTACAGGTAACTATGGCATTTTTGAAAAATAAGAATCAGTGCAATGACAGAGCTCGCTTTAGAATTCTAAACATACCTTCCGAAGAATCAATGGGACTTTAAAGTGTATTTGAAAGATCCTGGCCACTGAAAACCACATTTTAAGAACAATTAAAGGGATTGAATTAAATGTCTGGAAGGAAAGGAATTCGGAATTGAGACTGGATGTGTTTTGCTGACACCGTTGACCTTAATTCACCTTACTGTCTTGAGGGGTGGGGGAAGGAAATGGCTGCAGCTCAGAAACCAGGCTTAGGACCTGAGCTCTGATTTTTTCCTTATATTTCATTAAATTTCTGCGAGAATTCTCCTGGCTTCAAGCGATGGATTCTGTGCTTGAATATTTCATTGTTGCTTAATGAAATTTGCGCAGGGAAAGAAATTGACTAGCAACTTCTAGCCGAGATAAAGTGAAAGTGTGTGGGGGGGGGGATCTTCCTCTGGTGCAATAGGTTTTGTAGGTTTCTTGAACAATGAAAGAAAACCAGCAGCCTCTACCACTCCCCAGAGTGCCAAGTGACCCCCTTTCCAGCTCTTGGGGGGTGGGTACCACTCGTCTCTAGCATCTGACCCGGATAGTATAGTCAGTTGAAAACCTATTCATCTTTTGAAGCTTGGTAGCTGCTGGACTGCTAGCAGGAGGTATTTATTTATTGGGGGGGAGGGATTGAAAGCTGTGTCATTTGGACAAGTCGCCTTACCAGGAAACAGAATGTTTAGGATTTAAAAAAACATGCATTGAAGATAAACCCAACCTTCCGCTATAGGAACATTTGATGCTCATGGAACGCAGAGATTGAGAAAGCTAGCAGGTGCTGGGAGGGATTCCCTTGCATGAAGTTGTTAATGCGTCTTAATCCTGACCCTGTGTCACCCCTCCATGCTAATACCGTGGCCTCCTATGGCCAAGCGATTCTGAAACCTACCTCTTTGTTGGCTAGAGGGGCAGGGTTTTTTCTCCATGGACTGCATAGCATTACGAAGACCCCCAAGCTCATTCCGCATGCAGCCTAGATATTCTTTCACTCACAGAGACACTCCCGGTTATGTCAAAAACGATTCGTGCTTTGCAGTAGACGATGAAACCATGAAGTCGGAATTTGTCAGCCTGAGGTCTTCCAGATGTGCTGGCTGGGGCTGATGGGACTTGGAGTCCAAAACATCTGGAGAGCACCAGGTTGGCAAAGGCTGCAACAAGCTTTGAGAACGATTGACACCGCTCCCTGTAAGAGTAACCACCAAAGCAAAGGGCCCTTCTCATATTTTGCTCCTGGTGGTGCTCACAGTGGTGCTTACTTTGCACCCCTGTAAAAACGTTGCACAGCCAGTCCTCAGGTCCACTCTTTTTAAAATATCCCAGTGGCAACACAACAAAGGTAAGACAATGCGGTTACTGAACATGTTTGATGCCCTGAACATCTTGGGCCCTGCAATCAGCAGGGGAGGTCCTGTTGGTGCAGCGGCGGAGGAAGACACTCGGGCTCCTGGGGCAGAGCACCCAGGGGTGGGATGAGCTGCTCATAGGGACTGGGCGCACTGTGGGCCTCTGGAGTCTGTGTACCTCCTCCCACCCAGCCACCCTAGAGCTGGGGGGGAGGCAGTGGACGAACCGTTTGGGCAGAACGGAGCCTGTGCGTGCCCAAGCCAACCCATCTCTCCCAGGAGAGACGCGTGGCTCAGGTGTGCTGCAGGCCCCGTGGTGAGTGCCGCCTGGCATTTTGTCACCCCCCTCAGTGGTGACACCCGGGACGACCCACACCCACTGCACCCACTGCACCCCCTTCCTCCGCCCCTATGTTGGTGGTGCCATCCTTGCCTGGCCTATGCTGAACCATTACAGGGCTTTCTTGGTGGTGGTTCCCTATTTGTGAAAGGACCTCCTTGGTGAGGTGGGTTTGTTTCTCTTATCATTAACTTTCAGGAGGAACTTGGAAACGTTCACCCTGGCATCTGCTGGCTGAAAGATACTGTTCCTGGAAACCTTGAAATTTATTAGCTGCAAGGATATGCGACTGACATGCTCTTCAACATTTTAAAAATGTTTCTGGGTTTTAAAATTGCTTTTCAAAATTTTATATGTGCTTTGCTTTGATTTTAATTGCTGTTTGCCCGCTAGACTCCTTTTTTTTCAGGAAGGGCGGGATAGAAATTTAATAAATAAAAAAGTAATAAACGCAAACGGTATAGTTTTCATAATACAGGCCTGGTGCTGATATAGTGTAATTTTCATGGGAATGAAAAATAACATGTTATTTTTGTGCATGTGTTATGCCTCGTGGATTTATTGTATTTGCACATATGTCGAAATTTGCAGTCTATTTACTCTAGGGTAGTTGTGTGGGGGGGGAAGAGTCTGTAGTTGTGCGTTCGCATTTTATTTGAAGTCAGCCTACAGGAAATAATTATTGCCATAATAATATGTACATGTTATCCTACGTTGCAGTTAATATCCAACATTTGGCAAATGACAACATTCACGCATAAACGTTGACAGTCTCAAACAGAATTTTTGAAGGCCGACAAAACTCGGAAACGGATAAGTTATTGAAACATGATTGCCAGCAATAACACGTTTGTGGAATTCGTGATTGTCAGAATTCAATTCAGTGTCAATATTCCCCAAATTTTGGACACTCGCTATAATTTCAGATTCAGAGGGTAGGGGAAACTAAGCTTGAAATGGATGGGAGAGAGGAGAGAGAGAGAGAGAGAGAGAGGGGGGGAGAGAGAGAGAGAGAAAGAGAAAGAAAGAAAGAAAGAAAGAAAGAAAGAAAGAAAGAAAGAAAGAAAGAGTTGAGCAAAAAGTAGTAATGTCAAAGGGCATAGTGTTAACTTTTTCTACTAACTTTTAAAATATTCCACTGCTAACATTGTACAATATAAAGCTACATGCATTTCTCTCCCCCTAACACAATATCATACAATTTTAGCACCTACCTAGATTAAATGTCCCAATTCTCTCTCACACCTGCAAACCCACATTTTCCTTCTAAACCTTTATGGGTTAAATTTCCTGGTCACTCCTTGCCTCAACTTCACTTCTCTCTGCTCCTTCAGCCACCCAGAAATCTGAACAAGGGCATTTCGGTAGACAGGAGGAGGGGTCAAAAGTAAACAGGTGTTTGCTTGCTTTTTCATTTTTTAGTTTCTCCAAATTTATAAATGTAGTCATGGAATGGTTGGGAATCCCTTAAAAAATCTGTGTTTTGTTGTCAGTTTTGCCAGCTTTCTGTATTATTTTAATTCACTATTTCCTAAAGACAAAGGGTCAATCATCATGGAAGCTCCCCCTCCCCCTCCTCCTCCTTCTCCTCCTCCTCCTCCTTCTTCTATTGCTTATATTAATTGCACCTATTAATATATCTCACACAGAAGAATACTCAGAGCAGTGTCTCTCATCGGAGAGTCTCCATTTAGATTATAAATACCACATGAAGAAAAACATTCACATTAAAATTGGAGAATTTGCAAATTAAGATAGGAAAGGTCATAACACACACACACACACACACACACACACACACACACACACACACACACACCATCTATTTTTATATTTGTCTGAATGGTGCTTACAAAACACCAGGAATTATTCATGTTGATAGCAGGGCAAGAAATAGGATTCTACAGAAGTGTAACTTTAATTTCTTGGATGACATGTTTTTGAGAGAATATTTCGGAAAAATAATGTATAATTACAGAAGTGTCTATATGTACTATAATCTCATTTTCCTTTTTTTAAAAACAACAATGTATCTCTAGAAGACTTTGATGTCTTTGAGATATTATTTGATTTACCACAATATTCCTATTTTTAAAAGGTGGCTATCTTGCCATTTTGCCTTGTTTTAACAGACACTTATTTCAAAACTATACTGCCCTGGACCTCTGCTGAGATCTCCCCTGTCTTGGAACTCGAGAGAGGTACCAATTTATGTGTGTGTGTTTGTCTTATTGCAGTATTTTGGTATTTAAATCTCCTTCATGTTTTAAAGGAACTTAAGGCAAACCATGACCGCCTCAGCTTACCAGTAACAGAAGGCAGTAACCCTATAGAAGAGCCGGGTTTGCTGGTGATTTTTTTCTTTATTAAAAAACAAATAAAAAAAACCCTGTAAAAACCTGGAATAGGAGGTGTGATTGTCAGTAAAAAAATACAATAAAGCAAGAAATATACATAGCAATCACTAGGAAACAGGGAGCGAGAGAAATAATGGCAAGAAGTATTCTCTGGCCCCCAAATGGTGAAAAGCAAGGAAGAATATAATCAAGTTTGGGATGCTTAAAAAAAAAAAAAAAAAAGAGCAGTCAAGTAGTTAATTGACTTTGCTTTAATCAGCCCAATGAATATTCATTAGCGTGCTGGTCCTAATCACAGGGGCCATGTTGTCCGCATTTAGCAAGCACACGATCAGCATCATACAATGCCTCAACAGCTTCCCTTCCTGTCTGCACTGACATTAAATTTAGAGGTTTTACGCCTTCACTAGCTCACAGTTAGCACTGATTGGCCCAGCTGCTCTACTCGAAAATGCCATAGCAACCCCTGGCTGGTTGCCTAGCAACTTTTTTGTGTGTGTGTGCAAAAGCCCAAGCCAGTAATCCATAGGCTCAGCATCGTTGAAAATATGGTTTTGTAGGCGTGGATTTGTGCATGTGTGCTGATTCCGCGGGGAAGAAGGTCAAGCTTTTAAGTTACAGTTATATAGAATCCACTCTTGCTTATAGCGTCTCTCCTTAAGAATTGCTCAGATTTTTATAAACTGGCGGTTGCACGGTATCATATTTCTAGCGTGTGGCTCTTACACTATCTGATCCGGTGATCTGGGCTAAGCCAACACAAGGACAGCACACAAACCACACACACAATGTGGATGTAACCCCAAGATCTTCATCGGCAATGACAGGAGCCTTTGCATAAAGCCTATCTGACCCCAGCGGAGCTGAGAATTGCTCGCTCGGCCTCTCTCTTTGGCAATGTGGGCTTGAGTTCTTCTGTGCTTCGCTATAATCTGTCCTAAATGAAACAGAAATTGCAAGCTGAATTTTGCAAGCTGTGCAATTTTCTAAAAGATGGAGGATTGTGCGTATGAAGCTCTGGCCAGGTCTTGTTCACTGTCTTTGATCTAGAGAGGCTCTTCCGCTAACTGGAATGGCCCTGGGCTCCTCCGAGCGGAAGGGTAGGGTATAAATTCAACAAACAACTGCGAGTCTCACTTCTACCCTCAGAAGGACTGCAGTGGTACCTTGGTTTTCAAATGCCTTTGTACTCAAACGTCTTGGAACCCAAACACTGCAAACCCAGAAGTAAGTGTTCGGGTTTGCGAACCTTTTTCAGAAGCCGAACGTGCTCCGTTTTGAGTGTTACGCTTCCGTTTTGAGTGCCACACTTCGGATTTCAGTGCCACACTTCCGTTTTGAGAGTTACGCTTCCGATTTGAGTGCCATATTTCCGATTTGAGTGTTATGCTGAGGTCTGTCTGTTTTTGCTATTTATTTTGCCTCTTTATTGCTCTTTTTTGTGTCACTGTGTGAAACCCAGTTCAGCTACTGATTGATTGATTGATTGATTGATTGATTGTGTGACTGCAGTACATTGTTTATTGCTTTCATTTTATGGGTGAATGGTCTCGTTAGATGGTAAAATTCATGTTAAATTGCTGTTTTAGGGGTTGTTTTTAAAAATTTGGAACGGATTAATCCATTTTGCATTACTTTATACGGGAAAGCGCACCTTGGTTTTGGAACGCTTTGGTTTTGGAACGGACTTCTGGAACGGATTATGTTTGAGAACCAAGGTACCACTGTATTTCCAACTAAACAGAAGAATGCTGTTTGAGAAAAGTGATCCAAAATACATAGCCTTTCCATTTGCACATGGGGTGCTAGGTCCATAATAAGGGAGAGACTACCTTATGCCTTAAATACCCAGTAGATCACTGTGGTCTGCAGAAGTCTCTCTTGCAATTTTCAAATATCTCAGAAACCTGCTCTGTACTAGCTCAGACCAGGACTGGCTGCCCCTCTTCTGTGGACAGCATTCATGTTGAGATATGACAAGCACCCCCATCTCCACTTTCCAGAAACAGGTGGGGTTTTTTTATTTAAAAAATGGCCAGCACTGTCAAAATAATATGCATACATTCATGGGCTCCATAGTCAGGCACAGTAAATTAACTGGGTGCTGTCCCTTTTAGTACATCCCAGCATCCATATACCCTATGCACTCAAGCCCAGTTCCCATTATTCTTCTCCTTTAAATGATTATAATGTGTTGATGTTGGAGCATGCAGGTCATGCCTGTGAATTCACATCATATGTATGGCAATCTTTTTCACTATTGTTTCTTATGCATGAGGAGGAGGATATGCTCATCGTGCACAAGAAATGTACTACAGATACTGGATCCTGACTCAGGGCCAGTCCACTAGGTGGGGTGAGGCCTCAGGTGACAAAAGCCCCCAAGGCGCCACCACCAATGGTGCCCTGCTTGCCCTGCCTGCCTACACCAGCAGCAGAGAAGTGGCACCAGCATTGGCACCAAGATCTTCTGAGATCTGCTGGAGCATGCAAGATCTTGCATGGTTTCAGGTGAGATCGTGCCCCAGTGAGGCATTCGTAAGGACTGAAGGTCCCCGCCTTCCCACCGTTCTCCAAAGCGACTTCTCCAGGTCCTTCCACAACAACCTGAGTCTCCTTCATCGTGTCTCCCTTTGCTCGGCCCTCATCATTCCACTTTGTGTAATGAGATACCATGGAGGGCAGGGGAGCTGGTCACAGCAGGTGGTGAAGGCTCCCTAGATTCTTCAGCAGCCTGCCTCATCTCTGCCTCCTGACCCCACTCCTCCACTCCTGCCTCTGAGTCTGGATCGCTCTCCGCCACTGCCTCTTCTTGCTCACTAAATCCTGTTACCTGCTTGGCTTCCAACACCTCCTCCCCCCAGTCTGCTCCCTCTTCTCCCTTTGCCACTCAAAATCAAGTTAGAATACACACCACCTGGCCACCTCTTAATTATTTTAAAGTAAGGAAGAGACAAAAGCTGATCCCTGTCCGATTTTGGAGGTTTAGTTTTCCTAAGAAATGTATCATCCTAATATGGATTATGGAGGAATAGGAACTTCGATCTGCAATTTGGCAGGCTTAATCCATTGGGGGGGGGGCTCCTGTGCCTGCAAATGTCATCTGCTTCTGCCAAAAAATGGGGAAAAAAAGGTTATAGTCATATTTTGTCTCTCTGTGTGAATGTGTGGGTGGGGTGGGGTGGGAAGTAGAAGAAGAAGAAGAAGAGTTTGGATTTGATATCCCGCCTTTCACTCCCCTTCAGGAGTCTCAAAGCGGCTAACATTCTCCTTTCCCTTCCTCCCCCACAACAAACACTCTGTGAGGTGAGTGGGGCTGAGAGACTTCAGAGAAGTGTGACTGGCCCAAGGTCACCCAGCAGCTGCATGTGGAGGAGCGGGGAAGCGAACCCGGTTCACCAGATTACGAGTCTACCGCTCTTAACCACTACACCACACTGGCTCTCCGAATAGCTCCGAATAGAAATCAGAGATTGAAACAGGGAGAACACAGAGTGATTCAGATCAGAGGAGTTGTTTTTTTAAGCACAGAAACAGATACAAGGGGAACTTGGGGGCTCATGCACAACCCTAGTATGCATACCCCCATGGACATGTTTGTGTCTCTCTGTGTGTTGTATTACAGAATCTGTGGCACATACACTGGGCATTTCATTTAGCTGGTATTTGCTACGTGCTATTAGTTGGGATCAACTGAGGGCATCTCAAGGGATAATCAGACAATCTGTTGTACTCACAAATGTCCCAATCTTTCCAATCAACCAGGGAGACTTGTAAGAACATTGCAGTTGGGACAGAAGGCACTGATGCTAGGGATTGTTTGGGAAATATCCAAAGCAGCCTAAGACAATTTGATTTGATTTGCAGTTGGTCCAGGATAGACACAAAGGAAACCCTTCTCCACACACTAAGAAGCAACTCGAGAGACCCATACTCACACACATCAGGGTGATAATTAAGATTAATAGAGGATATTAACAGAGAATAAGCATATCCATAACTACTGGGTGATTGCAATGGCAAGGAGAGGAAGTTCTGTGGCAAAAGTGGAAGTTCACCCATTGATTCTAGCCTAAGCTTTTGCTTCCTAGTGATCTGGAAGGGTTTGGCAGGAGAGAGAGTGGACACACCTATACAGGTGTTATTATTGCTTAAAACCAACCAACTATGACTGTAGGTTTGCTTAGATCTAGTGCAGAAGATATGTGAAATAATTAGCATATCCCACCTTTTGGACACAGGTTTGGCATTGCAGAGGTGAAACGAACCCTAGCAGAAAATGGACTCTTGCTGAAGACACCTTGCTGACATATTAAAAACTATTCCGTTATCATGTACAAATGTTCATAAGTAAAGAGAAGCTTAGAGAAGTCTTCCTGCGTGAACCTTGGGCATGGATTAGAGCTGCCATTGGGTCTTTCTGTTTCTGGTAAGAGTTCTGAGTGGTGCTTTTTTTTCTAGGGACACCCAAGGGTACAAAGTACTGGCACCTTTTCTCTAGAAGAAAAGCACTGGTTCTGAGCCTTTAACCAGGAACCTGACAGGTTCAACCAGTTAAGGAAGCTTTGGGAGTTGACAGTTCTGCAGAGAATCACTAGACTGATCAAATTAACTCTGCATAAGATCTGGGCTGTGAGACAGAAGGCTTTCATTACTTTCCAGAAAGAACATGGGCACGAATATGCTTTTGTTGCTATTGGAGTCGCAGATAGAGTTTGTGGATTATTGAGATGATAGCCTTGCTCTCTGATTATTTTCCATGGTCGTTTTGCCTCCTGCAACAGTTTCCTCTTCTCCTTTCTGTCAAAATCTTGATAAAATGTTAATTCAACAAATGAGAAAATGAAAGAACAGGCAGACATTCTCTGGACACAGATGGGATGCTGTGGACATGCCACATCTATTTAATTTCTGCATCTTAAAGGCACAAGAACCCAGCCAGGTGAGCAAATGAACTAGCAAACCCAGGAGGCAACTCTCACAAGTGGGATCTTCAAGCACTGCACACAACTAGCAATTTAGGAGCAAATTTACGGAGCTCGGACCCATGTGTCAGAATTCAGTTCATGCCAATTCTCTAAGTTATAGAGCAGGAGTGGGGAAAGCTTTGCTGCTCAAGGGCCACATTCCATCATGAATGATGGAGCCACGTTCCAGTGGTGGTCAAGGACCAGAGGCAAACGTGGATGGACTCCGGGGAAGATCTAGGTGGAGAAATTATGGTGATATAGCTACATTTCAGCCACACAAAAGTCAGAGGTTTCTGTATATATACACACACAGATCTCTCCAGTCTCCATCCAGGCGTGCACAAGGCATGATTATCCCAGTTCAAGGACTCATTCCAAGAAGGCAAAGCTACACAAAGGGTGTGGAGAAGAGCTAGGGAAAGGTGTGGCCTGGGAAAAGTCCACAGGGACAGATAGACTTGGAGGACCACATTTGGCTTTGGATGTCGGGTTCTCCACAGCTGTTATAAAAGCTTATAAACTGTGTTTTGGAGCATATGTGTGTGTGTGTGTGTGTGTGTGTGTGCGCGCGCGCGCTAGACCTGTCTCTAATGACTCTGTGGGGGCTTGCCCCCCACCAACCTTTCACACATTGAGGCCAAATGTTTGAAGGGAGAGTCTAACCACATCCAGCTGAACGCAGCTAGTATCTTCCCCTCTTTTGTAAACCCTTCTTATTTGGATATTGGGGACAGGATGCCTCACAGGTGGGGAAGCAGCGGCGGAGCAAGCCGATCAGGGGCCTGGGGTGGTGCGCATGTCGTGCTCCCAGGGGTGGGGCCAGCCACCCACAGGGCGGGGTGAACCGGGGCAGAGCGCTCAGTGGGGCCTCTGGGGGGTCTGCCTGCCTCCTCCCACTCAGCCGCCCTACAGCTGAGGGGGAGGCAGCAGGCAGACCGTTTGGGGCAGCACGGAGCCTGTGGGCACCCCAGCCACCGCATCACTTCCAGGAAAGATGTGTGGCTCAGGTGCGGTGCAGGCCCCACGGTGAGTGCCGCCTGGCATTTTGTCACCCGCCCAGTAGTGACACCCTGGGCGGCCACGCCCCCACTGCACCCCCTTCCTCCGCCCCTGTGGGGAAGTGCATATGCTCCCATGTGTCCCCACAGTTTGAATAACTGAATAGGGCTTCTGAGACCATTATACTCAATGAATTGGGCCAACCTTGGCTCCGAGGCATCCATTGTAGGGCCAGGGGGACTCACCTTGCAATCCTGCCTTCCTCAAACTGAACTGAGCGCAACTGGAGCTCAGTTTAGCTCAGTTGGGAGAGCATGAGAATCTGGATCTCAGGGTCGTGGGCTTGAGCTTCACGTTGGGCGAAAGATTCCTGCATTTCAGGGGGTTGGAACAAATGACCATTGTGGCCCTTTCCAACGTTATGTTTCTAATTTGGTTGCCTGGTTCTTCATTGCTCCTGAAATATGTCCAAAGTTGCCCGCTTTGATTCCAGATTCATCTGAATTCACTGCATACCCCTAATTTAAATGCAAAGAGTGAACACACAGATTGCACGGAACAACCTTAACTGCGTGCTATAGAGCTCTCTCTCTCTCTCTAAACCTGCTTGGCTGTCCTTAGACCTTTGTTTCTGATGCCTTCTGCTCCCTCTGGACACTCTCTGAGGCTCTAGCATTAATCACACAAGTTATTGTTTAATTTCCTGCCTTGCTCTGCAAGGCCTATGACACTGGGCTTTTAGAAGAACAAAGACAGCAAGAAAAAAAATATTTTGCAGCAATCAACAACTGGGGTCAGTACACCTTTGCCCTGGTGTTCCTGTTTGCATTAGGCATGTGTGCCTGTACACAAATTAGGCAGGCTGTACACAAATACTGCCGTCTCAGCCACTAACACCTCTAATGAGATGAGAATGAATCGCAGAAGCTCTGTGGCCATGGGGCGCTGGGATACTAGGGCAGTTGTGCATCAAATTCCTTAAAAACACGAGATCTCTGCTGCATCAGCTCAAAGGCTTATGCGGTCAAGCATCCTGTTTTCCATAGTTGCCAACCAGTTCAGTGGTGTAGCATGGGGTGGGGGGCACAGGGGTGTTTCTTCTTGTTGTTATTTAGTCGTCTAGTCGTGTCCGACTCTTCGTGACCCGATAGACCAGAGCACGCCAGGCACTCCTGTGTTCAGGGGCGCCGACTTATAAAAAATATTGGGGGGGCCCATACCGGGGTCCATACTGGCGGCAGGATGGCAGTGGTGCTTTTGCATGCAAGAACCGGCCTGCCTTCCCCAGGCTTCGCGCCGGGAGGCGGCCACCCCCTCCTACCAACGTCACCTTAGCCGAACCCAGAAAAAAAGCCCCGCTCCGGCGGCGGGAACTCCCGTCCCCTCCATTCTCCCCTCACCCCGGTCCCTCGCCGGCGACGAATACGCCGTTCCTCGGCCCCGCGGCTCCATTCCTTTCTAAAGTCCCACCGCTGGGGATCTTCCTCTGACTGACCGACCTGCCCGCCCCTTCTCAGGAGCTCCCGGTCACTTTGGGAGGCGTGCGCCGGAGTCCCCTGCGCGGTTTTTGGCAAGGTGCCTAATAATTTTCTTAAATTATTGGGGGGGGCAGAGCCCCCCCAAACGAATTTTTGAGGGGGCTCGGGCCCCCTCAGGCCCCATGGAGTCGGCGCCTATGCCTGTGTTCCACTGCCTCCCACAGTTTGGTCAAACTCATGCTGGTAGCTTCGAGAACACTGTCCAACCATCTCATCCTCTGTTGTCCCCTTCTCCTTGTGCCCTCCATCTTTCCCAACATCAGGGTCTTTTCCAGGGAGTCTTCTCTTCTCATGAGGTGGCCAAAGTATTGGAGTCTCAGCTTCAGGATCTGTCCTTCCAGTGAGCACTCAGGGCTGATTTCCCTTAAGAATGGATAGGTTTGATCTTCTTGCAGTCCATGGGACTCTCAAGGGGTGCTTAGCCAATGGTAAATGGCATTTTCATGTGCTCTGGCACTCGTCACGGTGCCCCGTTGCTCCAGAAGCGGCTTAGTCATGTTGCCACATGACCCAGAAGGCTGTCTGCAGACAAACGCCAACTGCCTTGGTCTGAAGCGAGATGAGTGCCACACCCTATAGTCAAGTTTGATTGGACTTAACAGTCCAGAGGTCCTTTACCTTTACTTTTACCATGGGAGAGTTCAATGAATCTACAACACTTTTCTCATTTTCAGCTCTGGGAAGGAACAGGAGTGAATTGTGGAGCTGACACTTAAAGCTTGCTGTGGATTTGGCCAAGAAACATGATACTGCAGGATTTGATGAGAGTCTAAGCCATAGATGACAATATTGCAAGAAGGTGGTACAGTGATACATGTTCTCTGACTTAAGCATGGCAACCAGGATGGGTAAATCTGCCACATGAGGTTTCTCTCAGTTTTCTATTTTTCTAATCTTAAATTCAGATCTTTATATTTCCACAGCAGTTTACAGACTCTTTTGTGTGTGTGTGTGAATTTGTCAATTTTGCCTAATAAACACATTTTTTTTTGCAAAGTTTCCCTGAACATTATTCATTTGTGCTTATATGTCACTTTCACCAGAATATGCATTTTTATGTACACTTCACCCCCAAAGTATGCAAAAAAAAAATTTGTGCAAATGACCTGGCTGGAGCATTGCATTGAAAAATTCTGAATATTGTGGGGAAAGTGCAAATTTTGAAAAATGGCTGTGCTTTGGTTCACAGATTTGGCAGGTTCATCTTTAAGCAAACCAAATCAAATTTCTCCTCCATCTCTAATAACAGCAACATAAAAAGTATGAGTGTTTCAATATCATAGCACACACACACACACACATATCCTTCAAACACATGTCAAAAACTATACTGAAAATATTCAGATTTGTGTCAGTGTCTCTCTCTGTGTGTGCATGAATTCTGAACTGTGGCCAAATTTAACATATGTGCAAAATTTGCTTTGCTGTGGACTTCACATTTATTCTGAAGCAGAAGCTCAGTCGTTTCTTCATCGTCTTAACTGAGAAAGAGGCGTCTGATCATTTTGAAGCAGGCTGATGCCCCTCGCTGAGTCCATCCACTACTGAATGCTGTCCAAGAGAGCCTCGGATGTAGCTTTATAAGGCTCCCAGCATCACTGGAAAGGCTGAAAATTCAAACAGCAGGAGGGGGAGGGATCTTCTAATCCATTGTGCTCTATTTAGCAAGACCAGAATAGTCTACAAGCATTAACGTGAGCATTGGTACTTTGCGATAACTGGCTATTATCTCACCTGAAGCAGCTGCAGGGTGTCCAAAGTATCCAATTACTCAGACAAGAAGGAAATGAACCTTCAGGGTGAATCATTTTGGAAAATATGCAGTATAGCAACGCAACATTGTTCCAAGTTTCTCCCCT